AGCACCCTCTTCTGGCCTCTGTGGGCACTGGGCAAGAATGCATTGCACTTCCATATGTAGACAAAATATTCATACACATAAAAATACATTTAAAAAAAAATAAGTACCCCTAAATTGCTACACTGATAGCTGGCAAATGGGAAAGATCACAAATGTAAGCTGTAAAACTTATATTTTATTTGATTAGATTGTTATCATACTCTAATTAAAAGCAAATGTTATTCTAAAATGTTACCCAGTGATATAAAATGGATATAATTTATGTGATCTTTATATAAAATTTTAATTGTACCAACAAACATTGTTGGTAACTATTATTTAGATAAAGTGATAGCTAATTTAGTAATTACATAGTCTGTCTGTGTCTCTCTGTCTTTCTCTCATATGAAAGAATGGGTCTCACTATGTTGCCCAGATTGTGAATGAACTCAAGTGATCATTTAGCTCAAGTTATCCTTCTGCCTCAGCTTCCTGAGTTATCTGGGAGTAAAGGTTTGTTGCTTCATCCAGGTCTATCAACTTATTTTCTGTTTTACTTACATTTAACTTAAACATCATTTTTAAGATTTATAATCAGAAAAATTACTAAAAGGATTAAGTTATTTCAGAAACAAAGGAAACATTAGCAACCTCAAGTTCTTTTATAGTGACCTTAGGGACCTTCTTATTAGTAACAAGAAGGGAGCAAGCTGGTGGCCAAGATATTCATTTAAATTATTCACCAAGTTCCTCTTATAACAGCAAGCATTGTATTAGCATATGCACTGTTGTTTTTTTTAAAAAGAATCCCAGCACAGTGGTATAATTAGATATATAAATAGATAATTAGAAAATAAGGAAAAGCTATGCATAGCATATCTTGATGAATCTCCCGAAATGTGGAGAAAGCTGAGTTCAAAGATGAGCAGGAAGCTAGGCCAGTTCTTTCAAATAGGTGACAGTGGAATTCTAGAAATGGCTGAAACAATATGGCATTTGAGAAAAAAGACATGGTCCATGCTGATCAACAGTAAACCTAGACACAGACTGAGAGTTTCAGGAAGGGGAAGGACACAGTGTGTCACAGGAGGGTCTAAGTACTAATACTTCAAGCACAGGGAGCAGAAAACGACGGAAGGAATGGAAGGAATGGCAATGGTGAGGGGAAGCACCAAGACAAGAGAAGGCAACTGCAGCAGAGTGAAAGGGGATTCAGATCAAGCGCACAAAGGATAGAGTGTATGGAATGTGGGAAGCAGCCACTGGAGGGTTAGGTTTTTGAGAAGCATGGGTTAGATGGGAAGAGCCAAAGATGTGTGCTTGCCTCCACCCCAGATTTTAGAAAGCTTTTACGTGGGCTAAAT